AGGCAGGCCCAGGATCTATCTCCGTCACAGCGACGACGTACACCACACCGAGTGACAGCGCCACACACACAGGCAGATCACTCCCCACCCGCAGTGACACCCAGCGCACCAAGGCCTCTCACTGGCGTTTCAGCTCTTTTTCTTCCAGAGCCCAGTTAGCGCAGGTGGAACACTCCCACCCAGGACAACCCACAGGACACTCCACACGAAAACTCCCACACAGCGACACCCCACCCAGGAACCCACTACTCAGCCACATGCCCGACCTCCCACAGGCTTCCGGTCCACCAGGCTCTTCCTCTCCAGCGACACTCATGTGAAGTGCACTCATGGGCGGGCGCAGACCGTGGAGCTCCCAGCCCGCACCAAGCGCACTGCAGCGATAGCCTGCCTCCGCACTCGCAGCGGAGCCACAGCGCTGCGCAGCTGCGGGCACGGCCCCCCAAGGCCAGGACGCCCACCCAGGCATAGCCATAGCTTGCTCTGGCCCAGGTACGGTACTCCGATGCGGCCCAGCGCGATCACTGCCCAGGCTGCGTCTCAGAAGCGAGCTCCCCGCGAGGCGCGCGCGAGGCTGGACACAGCGCCACGCACAGAAGGACCACCCTCCCGCCAACGCAGCCGTATATCACCAGCCGGAAACCCTCCACCCCAGGACACCCCACCGAGAACACTCTCCACCAGGACATCCCCACCCAGATACCCCACCCAGGACACCCCCACCGAGAACACCTCAACACCCAGGACACCCCCACTCAGAACACTCCACCCAGGCACCCTCCACCTCAGAGCGACATCCGCGCCGGAGCGGCTCAGGGAGGACGACGCGCGGCCGCGAGCGGCAAGGAGCAGTCTCACCCAGGACCAATCCACACCCAGAACACCCTCCACCGACGACACCCCCACTCAGAACACTCCCCACCGAGGAACACCTCCACCCCAGGACCACCCCCACTCAGAACACGTCCCCACCGCGCCGACACCTCAACGCATCTGCGACGCACCTCCCAACGGCCACGACTACCCACAAGAGCAACATCGCACCCCACTCAGAACACTCCCCACCCAGGACACCTCTACCCACAGGACACCCCACCCAGGCACACCCCACCCAGGACATCCCACCCAGGACACCCCCACCCCAGGACACCCCCACCAGGACATCCCCACCCAGGACACCCCCACCCGGACACCCCACCCAGGACACCCCCACCAGGACTCCACCCAGAACACCCTCCAACCGAGGACACCCCCACTAGAACACTCCCCACGAGAACGTACCCTCCACCCAGGACACCCCACCCAGGACACCCCCCACTCAGAACACTCCCCACCCAGGACACCCTCCACCCAGGACACCCACCCAGGACACCCCCACTCAGAACACTCCCACCCAGGACACCCTTCACCCAGGACACCCCACCCAGGACACCCCATCAGAAACCTCCACCAGGACAACCCTCCACGCCAGGACACCCCACCCAGGACACCCCCCACCAGGACACCCCACCCAGACTCCCCCCACACCAGAACACTCTCCAGCTCAGCGACACCCCCAAACCCAGTGTTGCCAGAACAGGATGATACAGGCCTCCACGCAACCCCATACTATCCTGCGATCCCAAATGGGCCGTAGGGCAGGAGCAGACAGGCCGCACAGGCCACGAGAGGAACGATCTGCGGCAAGCGTGTTCAGAATCCCATGGAGACACACAGGGAAGCACAGGTGCCCTGACCGGCAGGGATACGCGCGGTGGGGCATCTTCAAGCTTCAAACCCACCGTCGGCCAAAACAGCCCCCCACCTCTCAGACACCATCTCTCTCCCTACTCACGACAGCCCCAACACCGCTGATGAAACCACCCTCCCCACCTGGCAGCCAAAACACCCTCCATCGCCACAGCACGACATCCCCCAACTCCAAGCCATCCCGACTCAGACACCCTTCCAGTGCAGGACCCCCACCTAGTGAGTGTGGCAACTATTTTTTCCTCCTACTCTTCTAGTGACCACCCCCCACCTTCAGGTGATCATCTCTTTCTTTTTTTCCCACTCTAGTGTATTATCCTCTCTATTTTTTAGTATCATTTTTCCCCCTTCGTGTGCGAGCGCGGCAGCGTGACAAGTCCATTCCGCTTCAGGCGACCCAGACGAGCGAGCTGCTACGACTTGTCAGGCAAACCACGCTAACACAGTGTGAGAAAGGACATGAAGGCCCCGCCACCTTACAGTGGCATCCGCCGGCGACGCGCGAGGAGAGGGCAGCAACCCCACCCCTGCCAGGCCACCGGCACTGAGCGAGCCCTCTCCACCTTCAGCGGCGGTAGATGGAAAGATGATATCCAGCACTCTCAGTAGTTCCACCCGCCAAGGTGTCCACTGCATCGGCGACATTACTCCCCCAGGCCCGCAGATAGCCTGGCTCCCAGACACCCCCAGGAGCACGCACGATTGAGTGGGTCACTAGACAGGCCACAGCAGACGTGAGCAGCAGAGAGCACGAGGCCTGTGCGCGTGATGCAGCCAGCGAGCCTAATGCCTCGAAGCGAGTGGGTTAACCGCAGCCAGGCCCGAGGTCCGGTCAAAGGGCTGCTTTCTAAAGCATCACACAGAATCCTGCCCAAGTCCCAAAGGGATAAAAAGACCAAGAGCCTGCGTTTCTCCCATCTGAGTTCTAAGACCCGGTCGTACAATGCCACAGACAACTGCCGATGCCACGCTCCGGGAAGTACTGAGCGGGCTAAGCGAGACCGCCGGAATCCTTCAAGCGCTGGTCTCATCCACCCTTTGCTGGGCGCAGGTCCACCCGGGCGCGCCCGACGCTGCTGCCTGGCACTCGACACCGGCCCCTCCCAGTACTTGCAGTAAAAGCCCTCCACTGTTCTGGTCCGGAGACGGAAGCCGAAGCGACGTTGGCACAGCCCGATGGCCTGGAGCCCCAGGAGCTGGGAGCAGGCAGGAGGGTCCTACGCGGCTCTGGAGGATGTGGCACTGCCACAACCAGTTGCCACACCTCCCACCCAGAATCTGGGTTTACTGCCTCTCCAGCAAACCGCCGAGAAAAACCCGTTGATAAGCCCCTCAGTCTGTCGCCAGCGTCATTCGGCGGCCTGTGGACGCAACCCAGGGCACCCCCACCGTGCCCAGGTGAGTACCAGGAAGGGTCAGTGCCCCTCCAACAAGAGGACCAGAGGCACAAAGCCACCCAGCTGGCCACACGAAAAGCGAAAGACCCAGAGGCTGGACTGGGCAGCACGGCCCCAAGGGGTGTGTCCGAAGCCATTGGGCTTTACGCAGGGCTGCTGACGAACCAGTCGCTCGATGCCCCCACACTCCGCTAGGCCGGACTCCCTATCCCCAGGAGCGATGTGTGCACCCTCGGTCTCACTGTGCCTGGAAAAGGGGAAACTGCTCCCCGAGCCAGGCGAGTGCGCAGTAGACATTCATGTAGTGGCTATCTTGCAACAGATCAAGAAGCCTTCCGGAAGATAAAACTTTTTGATGCCTTGGCATAGGAAAACGTTACACAGACACCCCACAGACACCACTCAAGTGCACACCTAAAGGAAGATTCCTAAATGGCACCAGATTAAATTAGAGTTTGTTCATCAAAAAAATTATCATTAAGTGAAAAGGCAACCTTGGTGCAGGAGAAAGAATTCTTAAGAACCAAGCAGGCAGCGTCATCCTCCAGAATAATCATAAGAACTTCTACAGGTCAATAAGAATTCCCTGCGAAAATCCTTGACGGCAAGGCAGAGGAACAGCCGGGTACGGGAGCACTGCCTCAGTGAGACGGGTGGATCCGCATGCACGAGAAGACATGACGAAGAAAACTCAAAATGAAACTCAGCCAGATCTACCACCCACACCAGGGCACCCCACCAAGAACCCCCACCCAGGACATCCTATCCAGGAACCCACACCAGGGCCACCCCCACCAGGACATCCCTATCCAGACACCCCCCCCACAGGACACCCCCACCAGCGACATCCCCTACCCAGGACACCCCATCAGGACACCCCTCACCCCAGGACACCCCACCAGACACCCACCAGACACCTCACCCAGACACCCCCACAAGGCATCCCCACCCCAGGACCCCCACCCCATGATCCCCACCCAGGAAACACCCCCCACCCAGAACCCCCCCCCAGGTCACCCTCTACTCAGGACACCCCGCACAGCAGGACACCTCAATCAGCCCCCCCAACCACGGACACCCACCCCGGGTGTCTCACCTCAGCACGACTCTTTAAAAATTAATTTTTATTTCAAGAATATTAAGGGGTGGGGGTGTTCTGGGTTGGGGGTGTCCTGAGTGGAGAGTGTTCTGGGTGGGGGTGTCCTGGGTGGAGGGTGTTCTGGGTGGGGGGTGTCCTGGGTGGGAGTGTCCTGTGTGGGGAGTGTTCTCGGTGGGAGTGTCCTGGGTGGGGGTGTCCTGGGTGGGGGTGTCCTGGGTGGAGGGTGTCCTCAGTGGGGGGTGCTGTCCATGAGAGATACCTGGGTTGTGATGCTGTGGCTTACCCCTCCCACACACACAATGAGGTGTCCCAGGGTGCTGAATGGTGAAAATGCATGTGGGGTGGTTGCTGCACCCCTGTCTGAGCCCCAGATGTGGCCGGGCCCATCCCTGCAGCTCTACCCACTCCACGAAACACCTTTTGCTTAAGCATGGGAGTTGGGTGTGTATAGATTCTCCTTCCTAATCCCAGCACCTGCCTGCTTAAAGGTTTGTGGGCTCAGGTGAACTCAGCAACCTGTGGCCATTCTCCGGGGACAGTTTCGATGGCACAGGCAGAGGTGGCGAGCTTCTCTCCTCAGCAGAGTGTTTCCTCCAAGGCAGTCCTGCTGAGGGTGCCGGGCTGCACCACAGCCTTGGGGTGCAGCCGTGGTGCGAGCTCTCCCGTCTCACCAGCTATAAATAGACTCGACTCTAAGTTGGCACAACCTCTCCCTGAGGAAGCTTTTAATTCTTAGCCTCTGCTGAGGGAGTGGCTCCCACAGGCCTGAAGTGGGGAACTACCTGACTGCTAGGAGGACAGTTTTACTCCTCAGAGATTTCATTAAGACTCAATCAGTGATGGGTGATTTTAATTTTCTTTAGGAAATTCTCCTGTAATTTGCACATTTTCCACAATGAGCATGTATAATCATGTATAATAGTTAAAACATTTATTGCTGCTTTAAAGGACTTAGGAACACAGACAAAACAATGACCAGACAATAAAAATACAGCTAGCGCAACGTGCTTTGTGACATGCATTGTCTCTAATCCCCATCACGTCATCCTTCTGTAAAGATGGAGAGGACATTTTTAACGTAGCATTTAACCATGGTGCCTTTCTGAATCGCAGATCCCTTTGGAAATCATGACAGCTACAGACTCATCCCCCAGAAAAATGCATGTCCCCTCACACAGGCGTTCAGACAGACCCAGGAGGCCCTGCCGCTCCCTGCCCCCATCTGAACCCTCTGTGGCTCACGTGATGGGTGAGCTGCAGCCAGAGCAGCTGACGACGCCAGGGAGCCCAGCTTCAGGCATCTCATCAGGCAAGCCTCCACTTCTTGCCGGTTCCAAGCTACCCAGGGGCCGTCACTGGGCCCCAGGAAGTGTTCCCTGCAGGCCTGGTGTTCAGGGCAGCATTAACTGGTCCCCTGCTAGGGGCAGGGCTGGCCAGGGCGCTGGGAGGTGTCTGCCAGGCCGTGGGAGCCCAGGGACTCTACACAGAGAAGTGCCGATAAACACAGGTGAATTAGGCAATGGATGCACCACTGGTGACAGCCCCGCCAGCTTGTCCTGAAAGATGTCCGGTGCGAGAACGCGAACCTATCGACACAGCGCCGACACCCAGGCAGTATGAACGGATTTTCCTCTCACCTCCTTTAAGGCTCCGTTTACATAACTGCAGCCACAGGAAAAGCGCTCCTGGAGATCCTCCCTCAGGCAGCACCACTCGCCACAGGGTGTGGACAGCAGGGCGGCGCCGCCCCCACCTTGACTGCGCTCTGCTGGCGGAGGCAACTCCACCGGGACCCCGCGCGTCCGCAGTGAGGCCGATGCTCTCCTGCGGGGCCTGCGGCTGCCCACCCGAGACGGGCGCCCGAACTCTGCCAGGGGTCACGCTTAGTCTGCGACCTTTCTGTGGCCATGGACCTCCCCAAATCTGCCTTAGGAGAGGGGCTTCGTTTCAAACCCTCTGCACCAAATTTCCTACGCCCCACAGTGGCAGCGGCTACCCTAGGCCTGGGCATCGGTAAACAGGAGGGAAGAGGCAGCAAGGGGCGACCTTTGTCGCACAGAAAGGGCAAAGCGCCACAGTAGGGCCCAATTATAAACCTATCCTTCGCGCCCCAGCAGCTGCTCCCTCCCGCGCCCCCAGCGCAGCCTCCGCGCCGCCGCCCCGCCCGAGCCCGCGGCGCCCCCCGCCAGGCAGCCCCCAGCTTGGGAGCGGGCCGCGCGGCCCGGCCCGCGGCGCAGGTGTCTGGCACAGCCCCAGGGCGGGGCCGGCGCGCGGCGCCCACGGACCGGGCCCCACACGCGCTCACCTCGGGGATGCAGCGACTGCAGCGGCGGCGCCTCCGCGACTCGGCCGCTCGCGACCCGGTGTCCCGCGGAGCGCCGGCGCCCAGCTCGGCCCCGCGCCGCCGCCGGCCCCCGCCCCGCCCCCGCCACGCCCGCCGGCCCCGCCCCACTCCAGCCTGGCCGCCCCGCCGCCCCCCCTCCCCACCCCACCGCGGCCGAGCCCGCCTCTGCCTTACAAGGTCCGCTCGGCGCGGGGCGCGGCCGACCGCGGGGCTGGGAGCGCCCGGCGGGCTGGAGACGGCGCCCGCACCTGGCCCTCCGAGGTCGCCGGGGCCGCCGGACCCGGGTCTCCGCGCCCCGCAGGAGGCGCGGGCGTGTGCGGTGCTGCGGGAGGATGCGCGAGCGCGGCCACGGCCTCCGGGCGGCGGGTGTGCGTGGGTGACCGCCGCCCGCGTCCTGCGCTGCCGGGGCCCCGGACCCGGGGGGGCAGCCGGGGGTGCGGCGGGAAGCGGGTCTGCGCCCGCCCTCCCTGCCGTCCCGCAGCGGCCCCTCCTCGAGGCCCAAGGCCGTCCCTGCGGCCTCTGCCACCTTTACCCTTACTGCTCTCTGGGGGACACCTGCTGCCCGTCCCGGGCCGCCCCGCCGAGCCTTGCTGGGGGTGGGTATTGCTCTGCGGGTGCTGGGGTTGGGGTGACAGGCAGCTACTACGGTGCTGGTGCTGGAACTTGGGGCACGGACGGTTCCCTCCAGCCTCAGGCTCCCACCACGGAGGAGGCCTCCCCAGGCTTCTGGGGGCCACAGCCCCTCCCCCGGGGGGAAAGGTCATTTTTAGGTCACAACCAGCTTTGTTGCGGTGGTTCTGGTGGAGCTGACTCAAGTCCACCCAGGCTCTGCCCCTTTCTCCTGGCCGCAGGACCCCCACCCATCCCGGCAGTGCAGCCCTGGCAGGCAGCCCCACAAAGCCAGCAGAGGACGTCGGGTGCTGGCGCCCAACAGGCCACCCCCGCCTGCGAGGACCAGCGCGGACGCCTCTGGAGCCTGGGGCATCGTGGCTCTGTGGCGGCCGCCCAAAGACTGCCTCTAACTCTTGCTCTTCTGAGAAGTCCCCCAGAGAACAGCAAGGCGCAGAGCAGGAGAGCGCGCGTGTGGGGACAGGCCGGGCCAGTCCTGTGACTCAGTTTCTTTTTTGTCTGTTGCTGTTGGCTGCGCTTTCTTTATGGTCCCCGGAGCCCTGGGCACGTGGCTTCTCCTGGAAGTTAGTATTGACAATATAAACCAGGCAATGAAAAGATCACCCCTGGTTGTGTTCCTTTTACCATTTTAGTCAAAAAGTGACTGACTCACTAGTCCGTTTTTCAAAACCAGTACAAATGCTCTTGACATAAATTCAGTGGTTTTACCCATAGAATCACAGCTAGAGGCGGCCTCGGCTTCAGAAGCAGAAATATTCCAGGACAGACAGGCAGGCAGGCGGTCGCCGTCCAGGGTGCTGAGCAAGTCCCCTACCCAGAAGAGAACCAGGCCGGTTGAGCAGCACCACCGGCCAAGCTGGCCGGGCTCCTGCACAGGTGCCCAGTGCTACACCAGAGCCAAACAGCTCGCGAAGGCTATTCCTGATTGCCTGTAAATGGAATTGGCTTTAGATGACAGGTGTGCCGTTTCCTAGCAGGCAGTCAGCTCACTCTGCACCTAGAAAATCACCTAAAATAGTGGCACAGGGTCTTGCTCAGCTAGGAAAATTAGATCCTGGTTTGGGAATTAGTGGGCCCTTCACCAGCCATGGCCACCTGACCAGTGAGCCCTTTGACCCTGCACTGGGCTCTTGGTCCGTTCACAAGACCTGGACAACTTCCACGGATTTACCTTCCAGTTATTAAGTACCGATTCACCATCAGTGAACGTATTTCTTCACAGAAGTTGTGTTTGTAAAAAGGGGTGGCTTCAACAACAGGAGCTTACTGTCTTCCAGCCAGGAGGCCAGATGTCCAAAATCAAAGTGTCTCCAGGGCCATGTGCCCTCTGGAGGCTCCAGGGAAGGACCCTTCCTTGTCCTAGTGTTTGATGGCTCCCAGCATCCTGGGCTTGTGGCCACCAGCTCCTCATCTGCTCTGTCCTCATGGTGCCTCCTCCTGGGTGTCTGTTATAAGGACACTTGTCACTGGATTTAGGGGCCCCCATCTCAAGATACTTAATTATATCTGCAAAGACCCTATTTTAAAATAAGTTATCATTCTGAGGTTCCTGGTGGACGCAAATTTGGGGGTGCTATCACACCAGCTCTACCAGCGGCAGGCGCAGTTGCCAGGGGTGTTCGCTGGAGGGCCAGGTCCCCAACTGCCCTGCTCAGCCCCCTGCCCAGGGTTCCTGTGCACGGCTGGGAGCTCAGAGGCCCCGGCAGGAGGCTGGCTCTCGAGAGTGCCTGTCCCCCTGCCCTCTGTTCACACCTGAGCTGGCTGTGCTGTGCCCACTCCTGCCTTTGTCAGGGTCTGGACTCTGCAGCTGGCCTTGCACCTCCTGAGAGAGAGACACAGAGCCAGGGAGTGAGGGAGATAGCGGAGGGAGGGGGCAAGTAGAAGGTGTGGCCACTCAGGCGGCACAGCCACACCACATACGTCTTGGGAGTACTACCTGCCCTGGAGGTACATGGATGAAACTGACTCATTTTTACCAAAGGACGGTCACAGAGCCCCACTGTCCTCCCCAACCATGTGAGCGCTGGTAGGAATTCCCAGGGCCTTACTGAACTGTCGGCACCTACACAGCCAGGCAGGCCCTAGTGAGGACCAAGCCTCCCTGGGAAGCCCAGAGAGGGGAGCTGGGGTGCCTATGTCTGCACCTGTCCCACTCCTCTGCCCTCTGGAACAGTGGGGTGGGGAGAGGGGGCAGCTCTCCCTCCTGGAAGCCTCTCTGGCTGACCAGGCCCTGGGCCACCACTTTGGGCCAGCAGGGTGTCAGGACGCTGACTTGGCAGTGGGGTGGGTGAGGTGTGGCTGTGGGGTGCAGAAGTCCTGGGGCGCAGGGCTCCTGGGCAATTCCCTGTTCCCAATCCACAGGCATGGGACTGTGCAGGGACCAAGGGGCTTCTGCCTGGCAGAGGCACCATGCAGGCCCCTCTGTCTGTCCTGCACTCTCTGACTCCTCCCTCAGCATTCACCCTCCACCCCACTGAGGGGCTCTGGGGTTTGGGGTTTCATTCCAGGTGGCCTGGGGCTGCTGGCAGTGGGCAGTGGGTCATGCTTTGCCACAGCAACTCTTGGCTGTCCCTTCAGCCTCTCCCTGGAGAGGCAACACCATTCGGACCTCCCCCTCCACAAAGTCAAGGCGGGGCCAGCCCCATTGGACACCACCCAGCCCAGAGCACACCTGGCCCCTGGCCCTGGAGTTTCGCTGCCCGCAGCCTTGGGCCTGCTGAGCTCCCCACACACACCTGGCCCAGGACAGGCTCCGTCCTTGAGCGGCAGTGCCAGGGTCCTCTCAGCTGGGGCCACGTGCGGATCAGGCAGCTGGATGCCAGGACAGGGGCTTCTCAGCCTGGTTCCTGTTTTGGGTGCAGAACCACCCAGCTCAGCACCTCACCTGCCTGGTCACAGCCCTGTCTGTGTTCCTGGGCTTCCCCAATGTGCCCCATCATTTTGTTTGGAGCAGGCAGCTGCTGGGCGTCGGGGGCTGAGGGAATACGGTAGCAATCAACAGCTCCTGCTTCAGGCACTTGTGAACACCTTGCGAAGCACCTCAAAATCCACCAGGGACACAAAAGCCAAACTCAGGAGACACACGTGGGGGCCTGTGATCCTGGCAGGCAGGGACTTAGTGGGAATCGGCAGGCCTCAGGGCAGACAGCTGTGGGTGCACAGCAGGCCAACAGCCCCCACGTGCACAGGGCCACCAGCTGGCCCAAGTCCTGCCAGCCTCAAGATGCCCAGGCCCCTGGGGAGGAAGCTGCCCATGCTAGAGCGCCAGCCTGGCCACGCAGGGTCCTGGCGGGAGGCAGCGGAGGTGTCAGGGAGCAAGGGGAAGTGGCCACTGGGACTTTCAAAAGTCCAGGTAAGGACAGCGACAGGAGGCAGTGGGGAACCGTGTGAATTGTAGGCAGGGGCACCACATGGCAGAGGAAACTGGCATAGCTGGCAGCTTTCAAGCTGCATTGCAAAGGCCACAAGCATAGGTCCCAGTGTGGGACTTAGGGTCCCTGGCCTTGAGCAAGGATTCCCAGCCAGGGTGCCATGGCTCCGTTGTCCAAGGTGACTGGAGGACGCGCCCTTTGATGCGCAGGAGCTGGGCAGCCTCTGCCAGGCACCGTGGCCATGCAGTCCGCTGCTGAGCGTGGTCTGTGCCCTCGGGGCTCCAGCAGTTCCTGCGCGGCCCCAGCCACAGTGGAGCTGCAGCCTGAGTGGGAGGTCAGGAGGGCGCAGGGCCAGGCAGGGCGGGCCTGCAGGTATGGGCAGGTGGGGTAAGGTCTGCGGGACACACGAACCGGGAACAGAAGTTCTCTATAAAGGAGTCTGGAGGAAAGAGACTCATTCCGGAAACACCACCTCCCCGCCTCACTCCTCCACTGGGGTCAATTCCTGGGGTGAATCGCGTCCTCAGGAGTGAACACAACTGTCATCTTCACAGCCTCGGGGTTATCGTCGGTGTTGGATTGTGCCCAGACTCCACGTTGCCCTTACGGAGCAGGGCGGGTAGTGTTGGCGAGGCTGCCTGAATAGATGGGAGTTTGGGTAATAGCCATTGCGGCGAAATCTCCTGGTGAAAATAACCAAAGCATTATTTCCCCTAATTGGGAGAAGGAACTATGGGCCTGGTAGGTTTTTAAGAAGTCCTCGTCCAGGAGACGTATGGGGGCTGACGGGACAAGCAAAAGGCCAAGGCTGTCATGAGGGGTCCTAGCTGGAGAGAATAGCTAGGAACTGTCATAGGTTCGTTGGCCACTCCAACCGTCTAGATGAATTCAGAACTCTGGGGAGGGCACAGAGACAGCGCCAGGGCTAAGGATAGACAGCGTAGCTCACTGTCAGCCACATCTCCAATCTTCATATCTAATTCCTCTCCAATCGTAATACTTAATTCCCTTAGTTGGTTGATCTGGGTAGGGGACATGTTCCATGAATGTCCCTGGAGTGTCCCTGCTTTGCTTG